CAACGAACGAGCTGAGAAATCCAAGAGGCTCCTCGACCCACGTATAAGGCAAATAGGCGCCAGCGTAAGTATAGTTATTCGCTCTGCAAGTCTTGGGTCCTTGCGTAGACTGGCGTTATTCGCTGAACAGCGTAGAATACTCCAAGGTTGGCCCTATCTTTTTGTATTCCGTCTAATGGGATTATTAATCTGTGAATCATGGAGTCTATATCAGGCCGACGAATGGGAAAGGCAGATTGCTCACAAAAACGAGTGTCGTCAAGCGGAAGCTGATATGGCCAGAGATGACAGAGCCGTTCTGGAAAAACTAGACAGAATAGCGCAACAGTGGGTTATTCGGGAGGTCTGATACTCTCTCATCCCTCTCCGTTCACACAGGATTGAGGCAGAACGCCAGGAAGATCAACGCCAGAGAGAGGCATCGGCTCGACATCACTCTCTGAACAAGCTAGGAAAGACAGCTCGAGGGGAGTATTTTCTCAGCGACCCCAAGAGGTCGGTTATACCTGGCTCTAATGTTCTATGATCGAGAACATTCTGGTATTCGTAGGGACTTGTCGATCGATATCGAGCATGTCGGTCCGAGCGCTGCTCAGGTGGGGATGTTCCGTGTTTATGTGCTCGAGAGTATCTGTTAGTGTTTCAGGTATTCGCTGGAGAATTCGTTGAGGATAAGAAGGCAATGCAAAAAGAACTCGTGGTGAGGATCATAGATTGTGTTTCTCAGAGAACATGCAAGGGTGCGCGTAACTCACTCACCTGTTCTTATGCGACTCGCTGATTCACATCACCCTCTTATCAATCGACAAACTGTGCATATCATATATTTATGCATTGCGGCTAGCAGAGTTAGATGCGTCATTACTATAGTTCGCGAGTTGGGCCTTTGCGGGCTCCGTGTGATGCAGTGGTACCGTGATCTACCAGGCTTATCTCTCATAGTTCTTATTCTCTCATTCATCTTCTTGCACTTATACATGTATAGCAATAGTATGAGTATTACAGTACTAGTGTACTTATAACTGTACTATTACACATGTATTATAGCATGGTTTACTATCGTTGATAATGCGCTCCTTGAGAACTGGTACTAGCTTTCTCTATTTCAGCGAGGCTTGGAGGGGCAGGAGCAGGAGAATAAAGAGCTGCTTGAACGTAATAGAAACGGGGCCGAATTAGGTTATCCAGATTGTTATGATAGGGGAAGCTGCACTCGAACGAGCATTTGCTGAACTTTCGAAGTTGGACTTCGAGACTAGGCTTGCTATTGACACTGAAGAGGAGGCGTCGAGGAGAGCTGCGCGACGAGCTCTAGACGAGTATAATGCGTAAGTTGAATTGTCAGTGCATGCTTTTGAGAAATGGAGCGTGTATTTAGGGAGTTGCAAAGAGGACGGAAGGAGAAACAAAAAAGGGATTCGCAATACTCGAAGACAAGCGCGATGCGGGACATCGATTTCCACCTACATCGAAGGTAGTCTCCGATCCACGAGCTGGCGTAGCGATTGGTTGTGATCAGCGAGCTGTTGAACGGTGACATTGGGACGAGTTCTGATTTCAAGGGTGTTTCTCTTAAGGGAAAGCAGGACGTTCTGGACTCGCAGGCTCAACAGGTGACCATCCGGCTTGGGACTTTCCGCTCTGTCGGTATATTATCTCGCTACGATATGTCCATAAATGGCCCGGTTGGAGCCTTCGTCGTTTCCAGGTTGAACAGAGGATTAGGAGAGTCACTGAGGAGAATGACAGGACAGCCCGGGATGCAGCGCAAGCCGAAGCTCAACGTTTGGAGGCTGTGAGAGTGAGTCCCGTCGGCTTGTAGAAGTGAAAAAAATAGTGGTATTTGTTCTTGCATTGGACATCATTGTGGGTAACTACTGTATTCAGATCCATGATGAGCAAGAGAATCAGCGTCGGAGTGCTGCCAAAGCGCTGGTAGAAGAGAATATGAGGCTCGCTGAGGATCAAAACAGAGTGAGGATGCGAACTGAGGAGACTGTGAGTCAGTTTTTATTCTTCCTTTGACCTCATCATCTCAATTTCAGTACGCCCCGTCTATAAAGGAAACCTTCTTCGATCAGTTCGCCAAGTCCGCATGTCACTGACCTAGACGTTGTTCACATGAAACTTTCGAGTTATCAGTGTCGGCTCGCGCCAAGACTTAGTCTCAGGGTTTCTCAGGATCGTCAATTCTCGATCGTCTGAGTACCAGCAGCATCTCCATGGCAAATAGTGTTTATCGTAAAATGGGGCATTCTTCGTTGAAGGCATTTCCCCATCTGTTCTGGGTTGTTGATATTCAACGGGATATAGAATAGACAAGTCATCGAGCAACGTTCTATCTTGTGTCGCGCTAGGAATATTCATCGATTATCTTGGCGCAACTGACTTGATTCGGCGAAACGAAGTTCGACAACTCCAGGGGTTCAGTGATGGCGAGTTTTTGTTGCCAGAGTTGACCTTGCCCGCAAATGTCATTCGGTGGCTTCGGTGGTTTCGGTGGCTTTGGTGGGGATACTTCAACTACAGCGATGGCCAGTACTCCCGGATTCGGATCCCAGTCTGGTGGGAGATCATCTTTTGGCCGAGTGAGTTGCTCAGGCTGCACAGTAGCCTTGCATTTGTCGCATGTCGCATTCATCTTCACTGTTGTGATGCTTTGCTTCTCGAGGATTCCGTGAATAAGCAATCGTTGTGGAAAATGTGCGAGTATAGTCCTAGCCTATACGAAATCAGTGGCTGTTTTTCTTCAGATGTCGTTCGGTGCCGGGATGGATACCGGAGGAGGTGACAAGTGATTTCCGATGTTCATGGTATGGCATTGGTTGATTTTCAGGAGATAAGAAGCCCGCACGTCGGCCGTTGATACCAGTGAATGTGAGGGTCTTCCACGATGCAGTGACGCAACACTCAGGTGGGTTGTCTCGATGAATTCGTTCAGATAATCTGACACCTATGTGATGCTCAGGTGGGGATGATATTGAAGTGTTCGGAGCTGCTGCGAGGGTGGTGGAGATTCTCGGTAGGTTCTCTGAGCATCAGTCAGGAGCTTGACGATTATGTGAAGTATAATCTCTGTTTTATAGTATCGATCTAGTGCACTGTTGATACTCAGCAGGACCCCAATCCCATTGAATAGGAGTGTAGAAACTTCCATGGCCTGCTGTTTGACCGTAGGTAACGCTAGAGATGTCGAACATGATGGCTTGGCTATTCACTGGACCTTGGATGACTTCACGGGGAGTGTTCGATGCAAGATGTATCTCGGTGAGCTGAACTTACCTCGCGCTCGTGATATTCTCTTGTCCCAGAGGAGTCCGATACCACTGGTAGAGATAAAGTGAACGAAATTCTCAAGAACGGGAAGTAATGCACCGCTAGATTCGGTTGGACTCGTATATTTTGTGTCGGGAGGTTCCATATTCATGGGCAGCCTTATGTTCGTGTGATCGGAGCTATTCGGGGCGGGAGCAATCCATATATCTCGGCTCTGAAGGTTCTGCCGGTAGATGACTTGAATGAGATACCCTGTACGTAGTCCATATGATTGCGAATAGGCATTCAGCTGGTCTAAACGTTCTCGCAGGTCATATTGCAGCTATTGCCCATGCGTACATCGCCAACACTGGGGAAATTGCACCTGTCTCGGCTGATGGCAAAAGACTCTCGTTCGGAGGGATATCCCAGGCCGGGGTTGAAGTGGCCAGCGCGTGAGTGACCTGAGCGCTATGATATTATAGAGGTTTGATATTTTCTTACTCGCGTGCAGCAACCCATCATCATCGATGCCTTCTCCTGCAAGCGAGAATCAATCTGGCGCCGCTAACAGTCATGCTGACAAGCGTGAGCAGCTTCTGGAATTCATTAAGGTTGGATCGAAGTCGACTGATTTTGGATACTCGGTAATGAAGTCGCCCCTTCCATAAGCGCTCATTTCAGAACGCCGGCAACGCGTTTTGTGTGAGTATTGAATCGAGTGAGTATCGTTTTGTGTGCGTTTTGTCTGGTCGGTGCCAGACGGTGAGAGTATTCGGTTGATCGTAGAAAATCTCTCTTTCGTCATGCGCTTGACAGCTAATTCGCTGCATGGTCCGCTGGTTCAGGTTGGAGAGATGGCTGCTAAGTTCCAGGGAGTTCTGGGAACAGCAGAGATTCGGTGAGCGCGGCTCCTTCAGCGGTTTTGTGCTTATTGTGTCTTTTTTCAGCAAGCTTCTTGGAGAGCTAAGCGACGATGGCCTCATATACGACGCTGGTGAGTACTCGGTCCAGATATTAGCCACAACTCTTCATCAGGTGATGAAGATCATTACAAGTGCGTGTAGAAGCCGTTTATTTGCTCGATTTTGCATGTTTAATCATTTTTGTTGCGTTGTTGGAGTGCAAGTCGCGGTGCGATATTCCGGTATCCCAAGGAAACGGTTGCTGGAGAATATGTTGGACACGAACCTGCAGTCCGTCCGTTATCAAGGTCTGGTCAACTGCTATGCTTTACTTGCTCGACCTAATAAACTCTGACATCACTATTGAGGCGAGGTCAAGCGCTCGGATCTGAAGCGACTCTATCGGCTGCTGGAACTGTGGTTCAAAAGGAGAGACGAGACAGCGACCAATACTGCGTATATCACTGCTCACTACTGTGA